ATTGAAAGGATGAAAGCGGAGCTTTTCTTTCAGTCTCTCCTTCCAAAGCCGCCTTTTGCTCCTTCGCGAAATTTGATGACGAAGCTGTGGGGACAATGGCAACAGTACGATCACCCGAAATGCGTCATCGAGCTTTGCGGTGACGATATTCAAATGCTGCTCACACAGTGGACGCGAAGATTGCGTACGCATTCGATCTGGGCTCGTGACAATCGATGCCTCGACATGCATTCGGGTAGTGGCCCGTGTCCAATCGCTGCAACGACGACAATAGCCGAGTCATAACAATATCTAGAACTCAGCGCGTGTTCAGTGCTTGGCCGACCTCAGCGCGTGGCTATGATCAACATTGGCGGCATATAATCGGCTCCAGATCACGTGGCCGCTTGTTCTGGCTGCGAGTTGAGGGGGTGAACGGTGCTCTTTTTTTTAAACTCTTTTTTAGAACTTCTATTGCGTGGGGTGAAAAACGAACGCGTGTTTCGTAGGTCATTAACGTTAGGGATCCGTTTTAAGCGATATTTGCGCAAAGTACAGAAATTGTTGCATCGCCCCTTTAAGCTCTCGGTGACTCTCACATGCACGAGTGGTGTGCGGCGAAGAGCCTACTTTATGCTTGTGCAGACTCTTTTGCGCGGTTCTAAAGCGGCTGTCGAACAGCAATTAAGCGCCAAGCGTCGCGAGTGCTGATGGGCACGAAAGCACGTGCGCTCTATTGCACGCATCATAACGCGTCTGCCCACGATTAAGGCCACGCCGGTTCACGCCCGGGTGTTTGCTTACCTTTTCTTACGTTGCGTTTTAAGTCACCGGAACGTACGTCTATCGAAAGTCACGCGCGAGGCTATTCCTTTAACAGTTTGTCACCCTTCATAGGGTGCACGGATGTTTGGGTGACTCTCGATGTAAACAAACGGAAGTTTCCGTAAGCTGACACGACGCACGCAGATGGTGTTGCGTGAACTTGTCTTTACACGTATTATTTGTGGCGAGATGTTTTGATGGCGCCCTCCTCTAGTTGCCTCTCGTGACGTCAATACCTTGCGAACAACAAGTTTGATGGTGTTTGTAATGAGCATGGTGGAAGCTTGAAATTATAGCGCTCTGACACCAGCATTGCCAACACCGTCAAAATTGAAGTTTTTCTATTCCTCTTATTTCCTACAATCAAAAATCCTTTGCTGACGTCATAATCAGCATCCGGCCAATCGTGGAAGGCCGCAAACACAAACGTTCGCCTTCAGAAGCAAGTGTACTGAAGTATTTACACACTGTTTGCACACGAGTCAGCGCTTGCCCACGCCAGGTGTGAGCAGTGCTCGTGTGCAGAGACCGAATTAGAGTAAAGTAAAGGGTCTGCGCATGCTCTACCGACAGCAGCGCCACCGTAATGGCATAACGTCAATACCGCCAATTGGTGATTACCATCGTTATCAGATTCGCTCAGTTACGGAACTGCTCATGGACGCTGCATGCACGAGCCGCAGCCCCCTCCGCTCCCATGACTCGCCTCTCGTTGTTCGACGCGCCGGACGGCTTTTATGCTAACCGCAGTTCCACCGTGCGCTATGGGACGCGCAGTTTTAAAACAAAAATATAGATGGCGCTTCCAACGACGGGGCTACCCCTCCCCCTCTCCCCTTCGCGGGAGTACCACAAGTCAGGTAATCTATCAACGTTGGTGTTTACGCAGTACGTATAGTCCGTTGCAACCTAAGAACGAAGGGCGAGGAATAGACGGGCCGGGGAGGAGGAAGCAGACGGAACGCTAAAGAGAGAAGGAGGTTTCCCTCTTTCTTCTCCAGCGTTCTGTCTGCTTCCTGCTCCCCGGCCCGTCGATCCCTCGCCCTTCGTTCTTAGGTTGCAACGGTACATTCATTCACGTTAGTAGGACTCATGAACATTAACTATGATTGAACCGGTTGATTTCAGTGTAGGTTATCCCGGCACACGATCGTGTCGGCTCATATAGGGGGCTTTCACTGGACGCCATATTTGAGGGCGATGTTTAGGGCGCATGCCCAGAACGAGCTTACATTAATAGCCCGCTAAGACCGGCAATCTTGATAGTGTGGAATGCGCGTTGCAAAAGAACTGCGGAAGCTCGCCGTCAACACGCGCTAAGCAACCACGCACACAGATATGGCCGCTAGTGAATACTATCTATAGTTCGCCCGTGGTTCACGATGAATAAACGAAACTTCCGCACAAAAGCGGCTATGAAAAGAGAGAGGGGGGAAGGGGGGGGGGGTTCAGATTAAAAAAAAGAACATCTACTGGAGAGGAGGCGCAAACCTTACGGGCACTGAAGTGTACCTCTTGATTTGCCGTTTACGAAAGGATTTAGCAAAGAGCGAACCTAAACTGAAATAAATGTTTCTCGGGGATTAAGGGATTAAGCGTTCGGATTATTATACGAAGCGACAGGCCTGCTTGCTACGATGGGGCGTGGTTGAAAATCGGCAGGAGCTGGAGAAAGGGAAAGCCGAAAACGGAGGCAGTGACGACGCTACACGCGAAGTAGCAGCCATTTTGATCCTCGTCTACGTGCGCGAAGGACCGCTCGCTTTTCTTGTTTACTAGAACAAGGCTGATTGGATGTTTTGCGATGCGCAGTGCGGGGAGAGACGCTTGTACAAAAATGGCTTTCACTCGCTGGGTCTTTGTTCGGGTTGGCAATTCACGGAAGCTATTGTTGAGGGCGTGTTGCGTGCTGGAAACGAAGATACGCTCTGCCGGAACCTTCTGGCATTAGAGATAACTAGGGTTCCGCGTTTTCGGTTTTTATTTTTAAAAAATTCGTACTTTTTTCGGTGTTTTTTTAGGACTACATTTTTTTTCGGTGTATATTTATGCCCAGAAACGTTTCCCGTTTTATTTCGGTGAATATGAAAGAAACACCATCGGACACCGGATCGGATGATACTTGTAACTCTGATATTTCCGATCCCTCAAAAAATAACGGCACAAATACATTAAAAAAAAAAACAAAAAAAAACGACACTTTATTTGGGAAATGTGTGCAATGTGTGCAGTTGTTGCATGTTGAACGTTTTGAAGAGGGCAATCACGAAGAGGCCACACAGTGTCAAACCTTGCAACGCCCTCTCTCCCCTCCCCCCTTCCCCACCCTCCCCCCGCCCATCTCGAGGCGACCCTAAAAAACTGACCATTTGCGGTTAAAAGAGAATTTTAAATAATGGATTCGGCTTACTTTTATTGGTTTTTATTGGTTTAAACCGAAAACGCCCAACCTAAAGACTGACCTTTTTCGGTTAATACAAAATTTTCGAAAGTAAATTTGGCCTATTTTTATCGGTTTTTATCGGTTTAAATCGAAAACTCCGAACCTTAGGGTTAACATTTACGCTGCTGCTTCAAGGCAAAGTTACGCATCGCGACAATCTTTGTTCTATTAAAGGGAAACTGAAACGGTTCTGTATTTGAGCAAAAATACTTAAATCGTCTTCATTTGACATCCGGGATCACCACTCTGGAGACTATTTCTCAGTTTGGTGCGTGGGTGACAGAACAACGAGGAAGAGGGGCTTAGAGCGAGAAACTGGTATCCCGTTCACCAGGCAAAAGTGAGCCCCCCTTGGCTGCCGGCATGTTGTACAATTTTGACCACTAGAGACGTGACCATACCAAATCCTGCGGCTTTTACGCAAAACTGAGCCGAGATTTGTATCGAGATCGCTGTAAAAAACATGATAAACTATATTTTCAATACTGTTAGCCCCAGAGATCAAGCTCCGATAAAAACCCAAAATACAGCACCCCGGCTGATGGCATCTAGCAGAGGCGTCGAGAAACTGCCCAAGGTTTTGTCGTAAAAGCAGATTTTGTACTTAAAACGAAAGAAACGGACCTCGTCGGTACTGTTACTAAATATCAATAAGCTATTATTTGTGAGCGGTACTTCTTTAAACTCTAGACGTAAAACTCTAAGGTCACGTGTCTAGGGGTCAAAGATGTGCAACATGGCGGCGGCCAATAGGGGGTCATTTTCAGCTGCCATGTTATTGCTCTAAGGCCGTCTACCTCGTGGGCACGGAGGCGGAAGAAAATTATTTTCAAAGTACCGCTGAAGCCCCACCTTCCCGGAGCGTTTTGTCACAAAAGGAGTTTTCGGAATCTCCCCTCTCGCGCATCTTCTGCGCCTATCAGAGTTGTTATAAATAGCGGCGCTGCCGATAACAGTTTATCAAAAGCCGCGAGTGCTCACGTGGTCCCGGCAGCTTCTAGAAAAGCAAGCGCTCTCGCGCCTTGCAGTCCTTCTCACACTTGGTGCTGGCCAAGTTGCACCATGTAGTAATAAACGCCTACTCAGTCTTCAAGCTGTCGTCTACCTTCATACACAAGTGGCGACGAGGAACAGCGGAGACGGCAGTGATTCTACGAAACTCAAGAGGAAGCTGATGCGGTTCTTCTGTCTGGAGTACACACTGCCAAGCTGGACGAAGGCATGGCGACATCAGTCACGCAAGTCGTGGGGCGACTCGGTCACATGGAGCCATTTGACGACTCCGCAAGTGACTGGATCTCGTACGACGAACGTTTGACGTCATTTCTTCGCTTCAACAAGGTCCCCGAAGAAGACAAGGTACACGCGTTCCTCAGTTTCATTGGACCCAAAACGTACGGCCTCCTCAAGTCCCTGACCGCACCGAGTCTGCCGTCCAGCAAGACCAATTCGACGAGTTGCGGAGGATACTTGGCGACCACTTGGCACTCAGACCGTCGGTGATCGGTGAGCGATCCAAATTTTACCGTCGTTCACAAAATGAAACCGAATCCATTGCCGACTTTGTGGCGGAACTACGAAAGCTCTCGCAGTCGTGCGACTTTGAAGGATTTTTGGACGAAGCTTTGCGTGTTAGGTTTGTCTGCGGTTTACGGCGAGTAGACATACAAAAGGGTTTTGTTTGCGGAAGATAAGAAACTATCGTTTGCAAAGGCTGTCGAAAGAGCCTTGGCAATAGAAACCGCAACGAAAAATGTCGCGGAAGTTCAAGGGACAGAAAAAAAACTTTTCAGACGTGCATAAATTCAACGCGACAAGGAAACCACTCCAGAAACAAGTTTCAACAAAACCGAGCGGCACAGAAGGGAAGCCGCTCTCTAAGCATTGCTTCCGATGTGGATCGCCGAAACACATGAGCAAAGATTGCGTGCACGCGTCAGCAACTTGTTTCGGCTGTGGAAAGAAAGGACACATCCAGCGGATATGTCAAGCTGATGAGCGTGCAAACGAGTCGAACCGCAGAAAGAACTTGAAAGTTCTGAGTAGAGCGTCTGACGCGGCACTAAACGGAGTCACGTGTCCAGAGCAAACACCGATAAACGTCCGCGTCATCGTCAACGAAACGCCCCTCGAGATGGAGCTCGACACGGGAGCGGCGGTGTCTGTAATATCGGCAAAGCAGCAACAGCGATTGTTTCCTTCTCTGCAGCTGACAGCTACGGCGTTGCGCCTCCGGACGTACTGTCAGGTTGAAATGAAAGGCGATCACCGGCGCGCGTGCCGCTCCGTACATTCTGCTCCGCCTGTCAGCGATTGGGGGAACCCTCGGCGCATGCGCTGTTCAAGTTGAGGGTGCGAGGCTGCGTGTTCTACTGTTAGGTGCTCAGCTCCCGGCTGGCGCACTTGTGCTTCTCCGCGGCGCCGCTGAGGGTGCTCTAAGCCGTTGCCGCTGGGGTTCAAGCTCCTAGCTGCCATCGCCTCGCGCTCGCCGAGCGAGCGGCAGCGAGGAGCCGACATTCGGACGCCCCGCCGGAGCCGCCGTGCTCGGCGAGCGCACGGTGATGGCAGCCAGGAGCTTGAGCCCCAGCGGCAACGGCTTAGAGCACCTTCAGCGGCGCCGCGGAGAAGCACAAGTGCGCCAGCCGGGAGCTGAGCACCTAACGGTAGAACACGCAGCCTCGCACCCTCAACTTGAACAGCGCATGCGCCGAGGGTTCCCCCGATCGCTGACAGGCGGCGCAGGATGTACGAAGCGGCACGCGCGCCGGTGATCGCCTTTCATTTCAACCTGATAGTACACTGGAGCACTTGTGGAACCGAAAGGTGTTGTGGGCGTAACAGTCCAACAGAACGGGCAAATACATGTCCTGCCGTTGTATGTTATCGAGCAGGGAGGGCCACCGCTCCTGGGCCGACAGTGGCTTCAGCATTTGCGCTTGGACTGGAACACTATCTTCACGTGCAACAAGCTTTCCTCGGCGCTCGGAACGACTGACAAGGGAGCCAAAGCCTAGAAAGAGCAAAACTACCTTGGCCACAAGCTGAGTGCAGCTGGCATCCACATCACGACGGAGAAGACCGACGCCATCAGAGCTGCACCCGCACCAGCCAACAAACAGCAGCTTCGTTCACTGCTCGGAGCTATCAACTACTACGGCAAGTTTCTCCCACGTCTAGCGACGATGGCACACCCACTGTACAGACTCCTGCGTGAGGACCAGCCCTGGTCGTGAACCCGTGCCTGCCAGAACGCCTTCGACGACATCAAGCACGCCCTGGCTTTTACGGAGGTCCTGGCCCACTACGATCCAAAGATTCCCCTTCAGCTGGCCTGCGACGCGTCACAGTGCGGGGTAGGCGCCGTACTTTCGCACATCTTCCCAAATGGAACGGTTCGTCTTGTCGCCTACGCATCGAGAACGTTGTCGGAGACAGAGCAAAAGTACAGTTAACTGGAGAAAGAAGCGCTCGCGCTTATCTTTGGTGTAAACAAAGTTCACTGTTATCTGTACGGCCGCAAGTTTATACTGATAACAGATCACAAGCCATTGCAGACGATGCTAGGACCAAAGACTGGAATCCCGACGATAGCAGCAGCACGCCTTCAGCGTTGGGCCGTGACGTTGTCCGCATACACGTATTCCTTGAAGTTCAAACCTACAAGTGAAAACGTAGAAGCAGACTGTTTTTCGCGCTTACCACTGCATGTAGTTGACTCCGACGAAGCTGATGAAACGTTCTATTTTTTACGTCTGCAGTCCATGCCTGTAACCAGCAAGGACATCTCACGAGCGACCGCGCAAGATCTTCTTCTTTGCAAGGTGAATGAGTTGACGAGCACGGGTTGGCCAAACTTTGTGCAGGATGCGGAACTCAAGCTATTTTTCAACAGGCGGACCCAGCTCACACTGCATCAGGGATGTCTCCTTTGCGGCATGCGTGTCGTCGTACCCCCAAAGCTCCTGCCTCTGGTTCTTCAAGAGCTCCACGACGGACATCCTGGTCTGGTGAGGACAAAAGAACTGGCCAGAAGCTATGTTTGGTGGCCTTTTATTGACTGTGATCTCGAGACACACGTAAAGCAGTGCAAGCAATGTCAAGAGCAGCACAACGCTCCGAACAGTGCTCCCTTGCATCCGTGGTCTTGGCCGACCGCTCCTTGGAGACGTGTGCACGTTGATTTTGCCGGACCTTTTCGTCAGCGCACGTTCCTTGTTGTCGTTGATGCCCATACTAAATGCCCAGAAGTCTGTGTGATGAAAAGCACAACTAGCCAGAACACAATTATTAGTCTCCGTGAGATGTTCGCGAGATTTGAATATCCGGACACAATTGTCTCCGACAACGGGTCACAGTTCACCTCTGCCGAGTTCAAAGCATTCATCCGAGAGCTGGGCGCACGCCATGTCACAACGGCCCCTTATCACCCCAGTTCAAACGGGCTGGCCGAACGTTTTGTTCAATCGCTCAAGAAAGCATTAAGAAAAGGGAAGAGCACAGAAAGCCTAGACGAAACTCTTCACAAGTTCCTGCTGACGTACAGGAACACGCCCCACGCCACGACAAAAGAGGCCCCGGCGAATCTGATGTTCGGTCGACGCCTGCGATCTAGGCTAGACATTCTTAAACCGATGATAGAAGGGCGAGTTGGGCATAGCCAATTCGTGCAGTGCTACCAGCATCCCTCCACGCCCCGTTCTATTACGGTCGGCGATGCTGTGATAGTTCGTAATTACAGGGGACAGCCAAGATGGGTTCCGGGCGTTGTGGTACAGCACAAGGGACCCGTTTCCTACACAGTGAAGGTGCAAACGTCACGTGGCCCCGCAGTGTGGCATCGTCATCAAGATCAGCTGCTGCGCAGTGTTCCCAGCGTCAACCAAAAGCAGCAGGCAGAGGACACCTCGTGGGAGTGCTCTTCTACACCGGCTGCCAGCAGCACCCCTCTCGGGACCGGCAGTCCTCGAGGGTCCTTTCCTCAAGCAACGCCTGCCGAGATTGCTGGAAGTCCGCAAGCGGCACCAGCCATCGTTTCGCCGCCTCCTGCTCCCAAAGAACCCGAAGACCTCCGGACCGCTATTGCCCGACATAGCACTGTTTTAAGCGGGAAGAAATGTTATAGATAGCGGCGCTGCCTATAACAGTTTATCAAAAGCCGCGTGTGCTCACGTGGTCCCGGCAGCTTCTAGAAAAGCAAGCGCTCTCGCGCCTTGCAGTCCTTCTCACGCTTGGTACTGGTCAAGTTGCACCATGTAGTAATAAACGCCTACTCAGTCTTCAAGCTGTCGTCTACCTTCATACACAACAAAAGTTATGCACACGCACCCTCGTCATTTTCAAGCAGGCAAAAAACAAAACAGAGAACGTTAGGACTTGTGTCATTGCCGGGAAACATACCAGGCAAGCTGGCAATTGCACGCGCTGCCCACACGAGCGACACGGGCTTTTTGCCTTTATGCGGCGCCGTCTTTTTCCTTTATGCAGCGCCGTCATTGATTCGCAACATCTTTCTAGCCATTTCTCACGGCTCATGCGTTCATTGTGACCTCGTAACATTGAGTATCTTCCATGTATTTACAGAATTATTCGTTTTTTCTTTTTCGTGAAACGCTTATAGACTTGGTTTTCAGCGGAAGTGAAGCCTCAAATAGCGTTACCGTGAATTTCCCCACTAAATTTAGCAGGCAAAATTACGCCACATGGATTCATGTCAAGGTGAACTAAACGCAAGTTCAGCTGCTCCGCTAGATTTAGCTGGAAAATTGACTACGCTTGACGTCAACACCAATTCAGTTCCCGCGATATATTTAGCGGCGAAAATGATAGCACGTGATTTTATGTCACGTGACCTGTACACAAATTTGGTGGCCCCGCTAAATTTTTCTAGAAAAATTGACGCAACTTGAAATACTCTCGCGTGACTTACAGATCACTTAAGTTTTTCCGCTAGATTTAACGAGGAATTGGACTTCACGGGACCTAAACATAAATTCTGTCAATGGTGTGGAGTGGACTGCGGTGGAGTCAGTGGGCTGGAGTCAATGGGGTGGAGACGGTTCGAGAGACCTGGAGGCACGGCTCCCGAATAAATGGTTGGAGGAGCGCTAAACCAACAACGTTTCACGTAGCAACAGATTTTCAGGGCAATTTGCGACTCCTTTTTTTTTTTCCTGTGGAGCTCTTAAGGGCTAGTTTCCCCAGGATCGTGTTCCCCGCAAAGAAATGAAGACACCGAACTCTGGACACCTACCGCCATCTATGAGCGACGGCGGCAAGCCACGTATCTGGTTGCCGCAGTCGCTCATAGATGGCGGCAGCCTTTCCACCCTGGCTTGCCGACTTGCAGCCGGCCATTACTTCCATTGTACAGCTCCGCTGGTCTTCCTTCTTCACCAGAGTGGAAAGGCTGAAAGCTTTTTGTTTCGCCACATCTGTTTCTTGCCGGCTAGCGTAACGGACAACTTAAAAAAACGTAGGGCGTGGCTAGTTCCCGAGTGTCTCATTACTGCCTCGCGGCCAATGAGATTGCGGCCTTATCCGATTCAAACGTCGAAGAGCCAATCAGAAAGCCAGTAGCGTAACATCTGTTTCTTAAGCTGTCCGTGAATATCTCGCGTGCAAGTTCGTCTGCTTCTTGCGTAGTGGTCGTCGGAACGCAGAGCTTTGATTGGTTTAGATTGCAACGATAAACCTCAATGCTAGATCCTTTGTGGTCTACCCACTGTCCTTCCAATTGGAGCCAATCCGAGCTCGGCATTCTGACGTCGCCGTAACCCCTGCGCGTAAAGCAAACGAACTTGCGCTGCGCGTAGCTACCCACAGCTGTCCCGTATACAGTTGACTTCAACATACCAAATTAAAAAAAGAAAAAAAAAAAAGAAACCTAAACCTAAACACGTGTTTAATTCGAAGTGGTTTCTTTTTTTTTTCGTAACACCTTCAAATGCTTCGTTTGTTTCGCATTTTTTTGAAGTGTGCTGATTTAGTGATTTTTGATGATGTCCAGATAGCATGCCTCGTCGAAAGTAGCTCATTTAAAGTTAACTATTCAAAAGTAATAGGCCGATCCCAACAGCCATTGTGACTACGGTACAGGTACTGAGGGAACTCTTTCTGCGCAACCTCGCTCGATCTCTACTTGTTGAGTGCTCTCGTGCACTGTCGTCTGCTTTCTGCAGACTACAATTATGGCGGCGTCACACATGCGCCGAACGCTTAGTGAGATCGCTCCATTGAGAGCCTAGTTATAGCGAACGCCGTTCATTTTCCTATATAGGCCTTTCGGCAAAGAACTTTCTTTGGGCAACACTTTTGGTCTGGCAAAACCAAAAACCTTTTCGCAAAACCTTTTTTTTTTCTTTTCTGCTGTGCGGTGAGTACCTTGTGCAGAAAAGGTGTGGAAACCCCAGTAGGAGAAAATGCGTGCAAATCGCGCTGTCCACGTTCACCCGCTTTCGCCCTGCGACGAGGGTGTCCCCGCTGTTTCAAACGCTGCCCACGACGATAGATGGCGGCAGCTGCTCCTACCATTTCGAAAAGGGAAACCGCCGTGTTTGTGTGCGTCCAACCGTTCCAACTACGCAAATGCTGTCGGCGCCAGGGTCATTGGATCTTGGGGGTGATATTCGGCACATTGTAAGAAGGGAGAGTCTCAAATGTTACTCGCATTGGTTCCCATCAACGTTAGTAAAACACTCAGTTGGGAAACTCACCGTCGAAACCTGGGCCGCTGGCGTCCACCGAGACCGAGCTAAATGCGACGCCAGCGCCACTCTTTATCGTTTGTCTGTACTGTGGTCACCTTGAGCTTTTTGAAAGCCTGTTTTTACGTAAAAACAAACGGAAAAGACTCTTTTTGTATGAAACTTATTGGAGTTTAGTACAAAATGAAGGGCGCGTGATGTTTTTATAATCTTTAGTTTGCAAGGTTCTGCGGAACAATTAGTATTGTTTTTATACAACCATGCCTCAGCGGTCCTTTCAGGTAGCGCGTCCTGACCTAGGTGCATTTTAA